TACCTAAATACCTAAACCAAAGGAAGGCTTTGTGGCTTTTGTGAGAGGCAAGAGAGGCAAGACAGGAAGGTAACTTGGAGCAAGAACAAGAGACCATACATGATTTTTAAACACATTTTTCTGCAACATGAAATTAGAGTTATTTGGAAAATATAAACCCTCTTAAATGTCCCTATACGTACTTGTGTGTGTGTGAGAAACTTGTTTTTGATATCCTTCATATTCTGTGTGCGGGTCAGTTCACAGCAGTGATAGAAATTAATCTGTTCCAATAAGTTTACATTTATTTTTACATTTTATGGGCATTTTTATCTTTCTATAAAGCCTTTTTTGTATTTTTTTTTAGTGTGCATCATCTTTTGAGTCAAATTCTTACATTTAATCAGTCAAATAAGACATTTGGGCTGTTACTAAAATAAAACCGCCAAAAGTGAGTCATTGCGATTGAACCGAATCATTTAAACGGTTGATTCATTCAGGAACGAATCGCGGTCATGTTGCACAGACGCGCAAAACAGCGCTGTGGCTGTGTTTGGAATTGTTTTGTTGGCAAAATAAAGCAAAAACAGGCAATATAGTGTCTAAAACGTAAGTTTCATAATATTACCTTGTTTATTGAACTGTTCAATAAAATCACATTTGTAATCATGCTGATTTTAGAGGTGAAAACTGGCACTCTTCGTGTGATATTGACTAACTTTCTTTCTGTGGTATTTTTATGCACAATGGCGTTTAGTCTTTCACAAAACATAGCTAACGTAGGGACATTATAACTAGCCACCATATTGATTTACGGTCTTAAATATGTCCAGTGTTTTTTTTCCCTTTTTTTTTTTTATTTGTATTTTTTTTTTATAAAGTCTGGTCCCTGTTTTTATACAGTCTATGGTCTGGTCCAGCGTTTATCGGGTTGTGCGTCAGTAATAATGTTCCGTGGGGAAACGGTGTTCCGTGTATCGTTACAGTAAATGGACTAAACGAAGCCTCTGATTTTTTTGTATTCGAGTTACTCGAGGTATTCGAGGAATCGTTTCAGCCCTACTTTAGTCTTTGCAACTTTACAGATCTTTATGCACCAAGAGCTTGTAACACTCCAAAGAGAAAGGAAAAATTGAAATCGCATCATATGACCCCTTTAAAAGAAATTACATTAAAAAAAATTATTACAATATGGTAATATATTGCTACTGTGGTTATAAATCTAAAAATAAAAGGTTATCCAACTAGTAGTAATCCAAATTCATTGTCTTCTATTTTATTCATGTTTCAAGTCTTGTGAATTACCAGTGAATTACTATTTTTATATATATATATATATATACATTTTTTTTTTTTTTTTTTTTTTTTTTACTTGCTCTGTCTTTTAAGACAACTTTATGAGCAACCCTTTTTGGTCAATACCACCAAGATTTTTATTATCTGTATAAAGCTACATTTGTCTCAAGTTTAAGCAATTTTTCCAAGACACGTAAATGGTAATAAAATTAGGAACAAAGTTACAAGCGTTGGGACAAATGATCATTAACTAAACAGTGATTTGTTGTAAGAAGATTCAGCACTAAGAAAACATTCATGAATTGTGAAGAAACAAAATCACAAACTTTTATGGTAAATTTACTTAAATTATTTCCTGTACTTTGTAAAGGTTATCAGTCAGTCCAGAATATTTCTTTATTTAAAATGGCTTTCAAACTTCTTGTGTAGGTTTTTTTTTTTTTACTTGGATTTTATCATGAAAATAGCTGTAGAATCTGACATGGCATTAAAAAAAAGACTACACAAAAAAAAAAACGGAGTTACATTTTTGGTCCTTTTTAGCATGACTGACCCTGAAATCCCTGTTCCTCAGGCTCGTGGAATTGATGTGCAACAAGTTTCACTTGTCATCAACTATGACTTGCCAACAAATCGAGAGAACTATATCCATAGGCGAGTAAAACGTCAAGATGCCAACATGTTTCTCACTGGCTGCATTCAATGATTCATTTAATGTTGATGTTTTCTCTATAATTACCATTTCACAGGATTGGCCGTGGAGGTCGGTTTGGCAGAAAAGGTGTAGCCATCAACTTTGTTACTGAAGAAGACAAAAGGATTCTTCGAGACATTGAGACGTTCTACAATACAACTGTTGAGGAGATGCCCATGAATGTTGCTGACCTGATTTAAACTTTGGAGCTTTTAATGCAGGGATAGCTGTCGAATGATCACTTCCATTTGCGCTTTATTTTATTGGAAGAAAAAAAAAAACTACTCTCCTCAATGCCGGCTACGGATCTGACTTACGAATTTGATACGTGACGTTGACTCTCTGTGTGGACTGTTGTAGACTCCAACCATATCAGTATTTACTGGTGGTGGTGTTTACAAAACATGGGTTCTTTACATGTATTCTTTTTCAGGTATTTTTTCCCTGGAAATGTTCAAAATGTACGTGTTAGGTGTTCTTTATCGTTTAGTAATTTACTTGTGGACTAAAAGATACAAGTGCTGCATTAAGTCTGCCAATTATGTTATGCTAACATATGTGTGCAGTTTAACTTGGTTCACTTCACCTATTTAGTAATATAAAGGCACTTTTTAAGTTTTGTGGAATGTATTACTTTAAATGTATATTGTTTTATCAAGTACTTCTTTTTGTGAAGTCCTCTTCAAAAGTGGGTCTTAACACCTTAGCTCAATGTTCCATGTAGTGTTTGGCCCACTTGGCAATAAAGAGGATGATTATTCTGTCCATTAATTGTTGTACAGTGTCTTTTGAATTGGTTTATCTGACACTGAATCTGAGAAATTACTGCAGTTTATTTTTCGTAAATGAATGATTTTCAAAAAAAAAAAAAAAAAAACAATAGGAGAACCCCATTTCGGGACATTAAACGACACTGGCAAAAGCTTATGATTATTAGTTTTCATTTTCAGTCACAACTTGTTTTCTGCAATAAGCCAAACGCCAATGGAAAATCCCCATTGGGTTTGTTGAGGGAACCAGGGGTGCATTTCCCAAAAGCATTGGTAGCTAATTATGGTTGCCAGCTCCTTTGAACTCTTATTAGTAGCAACCATAGTTGCCCCCCAGGGTGCTTAACTTTCAGGTTGGCCTATAAAAATATCATCACTGCGGAACTTTATTAGTAGACTGTATCCACATACTGTTGGCCAGGTAATGTATATGCATGAATCCCTTACTGAACAATCGGATTTACCTTTCTCCGGAAAGTCGTTTGTACCTTCAAAGTTTCAGGTTTGTAATTTCAAACGTCTCCTGTTGAGTAAATTTGAAATGCAAATCTGCCCATTTTCCTGTGTGGCTATTGAAGACACATGATCACACATAGTCCTAAGCCTTAAGATGTCTAGTAAAGCCAAACTAGTCCATTAGAAGAACAAAAACTGTCGCTCGCCTCATTCAAATCAAACGCCAAGATTTAGACATTGTTCATTCATGTTTGCTTGAGTTTTTGCAATCGAATACCACTGATATGATTCCTGACCTCTGTTTTCATTGTTAACCATTAATTGTGCTTATTGTATTAAAAAAATAATTCTGATACAAGAAATTGTAGCAGGAATTATTTTATACCAGTCCAATAAGGTGTATATGCCAAAAACAGGCGGAGCATAGTCAAATTAAGTTTAATTAAAAATTCAATATTCTTTTATAAGAATATAATATTCATTTTATATATTATAATATTCCTGCCTTTTATAAATATTCTGGAGAGGTAAAAATGTAATCTGCTTCAATAAAGGAAGCACACTTGAAGACCAAAGTGCAGAAAAATATTCCGCTCTCTGGTAAAGTATGCAAAACCACACCTTGTACAGGTAACAGTTTAATCATTAACAGAGTAACAATGCATGGGATGATAGGCTTCAACAGAGACTGGTGTTGACCTAGAGAGTGTAATATGTGGAATGACAGAAGAATGTTTTAGGATCTTTTTTTTATGCATTTTATTTAGATAGGACAGTCGACAGGAAGCGAAGTGGGTGAGAGAGAGGGGGGTGGGATCGGGAAAGGTCCACGAGCTGGGACTTGAACTCGGGACGCCCGAAGCGCAACGGCGCTACATGTCTGTGCGCTGCCCACAAGGCATTACAAAGACATTACTGATCTTTATGTCAAAATCAATCCAAATACGGTATGTGGCTTTGTAAAGGGGTAATATTTCTAAGCACCATTAAACAATGAAAAGTGTAACCTAGACTTGTATATATATATACTGTATATTTCCTGTTTTCAATCAGACCTGCAATGGACTGGCCATCAATTCATGCCAACTCTACATAGGGCAAGTGGTTCAGAGAATGGATGTATTTAATGTAACTGGGCGCCATCTCTTTTTAGTCAACCTTTGATTGTCAATCTAAGCTCTGCCCTGTTGTAAGCTCTTTAAATTTCTCTACATTTAGGAGAAATATCAGTTCTAAACAGAAAAACATTTTGAATTTGAGTGTTTTCAGTTGATAGTTGTAAGACAAAATTTGATATCTGCTGTTAAAACTGAGACAGAATGGAGGAGAAATATGAATACAGTATATACATGCAAGTAAAACCAGATATAAACAGAAGAAAGCCAAATTAATTTGATGGCAAGTCAGCTTAATGCAGGAACCTACGAAGTGCATGCTGATCATTTGCTTCCCAAGATAACAGATTTATTGATTTTTCATAATCCAGTAGTGCTACCGATGACTTTTGAGTTGACCTAAACTTTTTCTTTTCATTGAATATGACTTACATGTTGCATAGTGAAGACTGTGCTTTCATTTAGTTTCATCTCAATTTTAAATTTTAAATTTTATTTCATGTTAATTGCAGTAAATTACTTTTTTATTTCTCGGCACACACCACTGAATTCCTTACCGAACCAATCTAACGTACTGGCCCTTTGCAATACAGTACAAAGTTAATAATAGTAATCTGACTTCTATATACATACACACACACATATATGTATATATATATATGAGTTCTTTTCCATTTTAATAACTCGTATTCAAAAGAAAGCTGCTTTACATGGGTAAGAGTTTGAAAGAAATGGTACACATAGAAGCCTCACTTTCGCGACAGTGCAGTAGAGCCTCCGAATCAGTCCTGAGGGTATCTGGCCAGCTTCAGCTTCAGCTTCTGTTTCCCACATCCACATTTCCCGGATATCGCTGACGTGTCCATGTGAAGTCATCATCTGGTTGTAGATACAAGGGTGATAAGGAGCTTTTCCCTCTCCCGAAAAGAACGCATGGTCCTTGGGAGCAATATCTATCACTTTGGCGCAGATCCCGAGGAAGACGTCATCAATGTGAAAGGAAGCGTTTATGGTGAGTGCAGCTTGGTAGATTTTGGTAGCCACATCTCTGGAGAGGACATACCCAGAGCCAGGGGTGTAGTCTGGGTAAGACAACCATGGGTACAAGTCTTGGGACACGTAGTACTTGCTTTCTTTGTCTCGGACGGGTGGTGAACCACGGTGCACCCTTCCTATCCAAAGGTTTTTGCCGTTACTCCGGCCAATCCCTTGCAAGAAGTGAATTAAGTTGGGAATGTGGACAAAGACGTCATCGTCTGCAGACATGAGGAACTGGGCACGGTGGCAGTAGGTTTCTTTCCAGCCAAGCCAGTAGAGCCTCCGAATCAGTCCTGAGGGTATCTGGCCAGCTTCAGCTTCTGTTACACGCTTCCACATTTCCCGGATATCGCTGACGTGTCCATGTGAAGTCATCATCTGGTTGTAGATACAAGGGTGATAAGGAGCTTTTCCCTCTCCCGAAAAGAACGCATGGTCCTTGGGAGCAATATCTATCACTTTGGCGCAGATCCCGAGGAAGACGTCATCAATGTGAAAGGAAGCGTTTATGGTGAGTGCAGCTTGGTAGATTTTGGTAGCCACATCTCTGGAGAGGACATACCCAGAGCCAGGGGTGTAGTCTGGGTAAGACAACCATGGGTACAAGTCTTGGGACACGTAGTACTTGCTTTCTTTGTCTCGGACGGGTGGTGAACCACGGTGCACCCTTCCTATCCAAAGGTTTTTGCCGTTACTCCGGCCAATCCCTTGCAAGAAGTGAATTAAGTTGGGAATGTGGACAAAGACGTCATCGTCTGCAGACATGAGGAACTGGGCACGGTGGCAGTAGGTTTCTTTCCAGCCAAGCTGCAAAAGTAGCTTCCGAGTAAGATTGTGGAAGGTGTCTATGAAGTCCTGCTGGATGAGGTCATGATATCTTTGGTCTTCAAACAACAGTTGCATCTGAAGTCGTCTTCTTTGCTCTGGTTCAGGATGGAGGCCAAGAGCAAACAACACCCTTACAGTAACACCCAGCGTCCTTTCAATGTACGCCTCGTTTCCCCAAGTAGAGCGAATGGCCCATCTTCTTTCAAAGTTCTCAGAGGAGCTTTTCACAAAGAGCAGGAGAAGAACATCTTTTTCACCACACTTCCTCTCGTGGTTTATTAGGTATCTGCGATTGCTGTACTTGATAGCATCTTCAGGATTGACTCTAAAGCTTGCGTTAATGAACGTGAAGCTATTGAGAAGGTAGCGGTACGAGAAAGACATTACATGGGTTACAATGTTATTGTCAATCTTTTCCCAGTACGCCATGAGCACTACGGTACTAAAGCCTATTATTATTAGCTGTAGTTGTTTTTTTTTTAATCTAGGCATTTTGAGAAATATCATGGCTCCTCTGAACTTTGGCTCCAGTTGCAATTCATGAGATCCCTGGCTGTTTCATCAAGAGTCATAGCAGTCTTCAAACCGTGTCCAAGTCTGGGTTCCAATATGAGACAAGGAAATAGTGTGGTACTGTGATTGCTCAGCTGGCATTGATGTTGAAGCCTTTGCCGAGAAAAAAGACCAATGAGGTGCTTCCGGTGTGATGGTCAAAGTCTGTAAGAGAAACATACGGGACAACTTCAATGGACTTGGACAAGAATGACCAACCATGTTGTGAGAAAGTGTGATAACGAGATCAAGTGATCAATCAAAAATTCAGTTGCCTGAATATTTTTTTATTTACATTTAACCTGGAAAGTCACTTTAGGCATAATTCACCCAAAAATAAAAATTCTGTCTTCATTTACTCACCCTTATGTCGACATAATTGTCATTTTTTGGTGAACTGAATTATCTTCTCCTTACGTTCTCCCATAGTAACACACAGATATGCCTTCTACTAAGAATATTCCCATTTTTAACAGATTTAATCTATACAAAATTAATTTGCATGGGGAAAAAAAGAAAAAAGTGAAAGTACTTTTTTTACTCCTTTACATGCAAATCCAACACAGGAGTGCAACACAAAGTGCAGTGTCCTTCTACTTTCAGTGGTGTTGGATGTGTTTTATTCAAAGTAAATGGTAACGCAAGCCTGGTTGGTTATTTCTAATGTATCTCATTTCAAAACATCCTGTTTTGCATGAATCTAGTCTGTCCAACTGTGAAACAAGGTTTAGTTTAAGCTATAATAAATCTTTCCATGATATAAAAAAAGGCACTACCACACTGAAAGATCATTCTCACGATTCACAATTCAAAACTAATTTTCCATTCTATATATACTGGAAAATTCGTTTTGAGTTGTGAATTTTTCAATGTGGTAGAGCTTATTCAGTCTATATATAATCTGTTTGACACAGAATCTTCTATTGTGTCAATCTTTGCAAACTCTCAGCACTGTCTTGAGTAAACTTTACATTGAATTTGTAAATTTAGGCTTGCAAGATTTTTTCAGTGTTTGTCATAATGTAACAAGTAACTACAACAAAATAAAATATATGAATAATATAAGAATAAAAGAATGATTTCTCTATGCTATGCTAAAAGAAAATGCAGCATACCCTTGCATCTAAAGTACTGTGATGCAAATGTTATGCAATGTAAATGCAAATGTGAAGAGAAAACAGGCCTGAGGGTCTCAACAGAGAAAACAGAGGACAACAGAGAAACGTCAGAGCTCTGAGCTTCTACCAATCACTTGGCAAAACTAAGAAATTAATAGTGTAAATGCCATTTTTAATCACAATAAATGTAGTAGTTTAGTACTTTTTGGTAGTTTCGCACAAGACAATTTAAACTTGCAGACTGCCAGACACGTTTTATGTTTCCTAAATGATTAGGTATGTCTGAAACTCCTGAATAAAGACAGGAAAAAAGAAAAGTGCCACTTGAATAATGCTTCAGATTCCATGGAATGGTTATTCCCACACTTCTAAGTAACTTCAAGACTTAATAAACGACGTGAGAATGAGTAAATGATGACAGAATGATCATTTTTGGTTAACAATTCACAAGAAATTTCAGAATGCTACTTGTTGAACATGTGAATCATTTCAACATCACATAACAACATAATCAAGGGTTCACCAGTATTCATCTGACTCATTAGAAAAAATGAGAATGGCACGATACTCTGTCCTCTCATTTAAAACAATCTTAAGGTTTTAAAGGGTTAGTTCACCCCAAAATGAAAATTCTGTCATTAATCAAAACGACGACTTTATTCAACAATTCTTCTCCCCCGAGAGTTTTGGAGAGTATCACAAAGTGCGCTTGCGCGTGCCTCAAAAGAGGGCTTACAATGACTTACAAAGATACATAACAGCTACAAGTGTATGCACTACTTGCTTTATGCAAGCGCTATATAGGATAAATCACTATACAGGATTTACGTCCTTACTATGTTTCTGTCTGGGAACATTTCAGTTGCGTTGCTGTCTATGGAGGGTCAGAGAGCTCTCAGATTCCATCAAAAATATCTTAATTTGTGTTCCGAAGATGAACGAAGGTCTTACGGGTTTTGAACGACATGAGGGTGAGTAATTAATGACAGAATTTTCATTTTGGGGTGAACTAACCCTTTAAGGTAATTCAGGTGTCTGGAACATGAAAGCTTAGATTTCAAAACTAAGCCACAGTGGCCACAAAAAATATCTGGAGACACGTCGAACCAAATATATAGCCTAGCAACTGCAAACAAATGATGCTGGACTTTTTATCAAAACTAACTTTGCTTGTCTGAGCGTTTGAATGATTTTTTTAAATGACATTTAACTTTGTTTTTCAGTGGATATCTGAAGTCAGTTCTCCTCAAGTTCACACAGATGAACGTGGCCAAATACGTTTTGCCTTCATTTTGAACAGTAACTTTTGTTTTATAATTTCAACACTTTTTTATTATTATTTTATTTCAGTTAAATGCTTTAAAAGTGTGTTTGTACTATTTTTAACTTTTACGTATTACTTAGCCTATGACTCGCAAATGTCGGTAGGCTAAATGTGATAACGAATGAATATAGCAAAACATATTTTAAAACAAAAATCTACAGCATAAAGAACATAAGACGGTCTTACCAGGTCGATTCGCAGCATGTTTTAATTAAAGCTCCAAACTCAAGTGCGTCTCCATCGACTAGGCTAAACGTTAACTTTTCTCTACACCAGTTTCAGACATCAGTGACCAGCCAGAGCAAGCTCGGTGACGAACCTTGCCCTGCAGATGTTGTCGTGAAGTAACCGAACCACAAAGAGTGAGCGTGTTTGAGTAATGAAGGACAGTAGGACACTCCCGTATTTGTTTAAATTAATGTTAAAGGAGACGCTTGTAGAAATGTCCATTTGTTGACCAGGTTTCTGAAATGTAAACCTATATTGGTATTACTTTATAACCTTCATTAATAAATCATTAACAAACATTGCATAATGCTTAACAGATCATTATTTATATATTCACATAGCTAGAAATATGAGATCATGTGCTTGTTAATATTTACTAATGAATTTATTAAACATTAAATAATGATCTGTTAATCAATCAAGATGTAATGTAAATTAAAATGCTTACAAACAGAAATGGGCACAAATACATGAAAATGTTTTTAAAATACAAATACAAAATACTGTGTGGAAAAATGTATTTAAATACAAATACAAAATACTGTGTGGAAAAAAAACGTACTTAAATGCAAATTACATTCGATTTTTTTTCAAAGGCTTTAAAATACAAAAAAGTATGTTGTAGGCTATTACAAATACGTTTTTTTAACTACATGTATCTGAAAAACTGCCCATCCCTGCTTACAAATGACATTAAACTTCAGTTCATATATTACCTAATGCACTTTTTTTAGATTTACAAAAGTACAAATGCAAAAAGATGTTTGGTAGCTCTGTGATCTGGGTGTTCAACAGAACATTGAACAATATACGAATGCCTGATCACACTTTATATAGGTATCTTCAGTGGTGGACAGTAACGGAGTAGTTTTACTTCGTTACTGTACTTAAGTACATTTTTCAAGTATCTGTACTTCACTGGAGTAGTTTTATTTTGAGTAACTTTTACTTTTACTTCACTACATTCGAAAGCATAAGATCGTACTTTTTACTTCACTACATTTCATAAAACATATCGGTACTCCTTATAATATATCACGTGCTCTGACACGCAGAAGCGGTGTCTAATTCAAGAACGAACTGATTATTTTCAATGAACCTTTTAAATCGGTTCGCAAATCGCACCAAACGATTCATTCACGAATTGGAATGATCCGATTGCAGCCGTTGTTGTGACTATTCATCTGGGAGGGGTGTGTATCAAGTGGCTTGGTTATGGTTTTGTTGAGGCTGACATGTGGAACCCATCTGGTCCAGCGTATAGGATCAGAATAGGGCCAGCTATGGTCATACAGGTGGCTGAGATCTGGCTCTGTCATGGCCCATATTTTGGCTGGCAGGTTTAGTTCACCTGGATCAGGCTCAGGTGTGGCTCAGTTTTGGGCTTTCTGGTTAAAGATTGGTGTTGATATGGTTTACTTAAGGTTGTGTTTTGGTTCCATTGTTACATTTTGATCTGGCCCAATTCAGGGCCAGTTATGGGTAATTAACTTGGCTGAGACTTGGGCCAGTAATGGCCCATGTGTGGCCCTTGTCTGGAATCCAGACCTGGTCCACACTAGTACCGTAATACATTGCGGTATGTGGGCCAAGCAAAAGCTGGTTGTGTGGGCCGGAGCTGGGCCAGAGAAAAATTGCTATGTGGGTTGTATCCACCTGGCCCCGCTAAATTTGGAATCGCACCATACCAAACAATTAGCAGGGGCGCAACTCTGGTCTGACAGGTGGGGGGATCAAAACAGCGCTGAGTAATAGTCCGTTTTCATACGATTTTAATACGCAAGATTATCAAAAATAAAACAACAAAGAGCATGATCTTTCAGGAAAGTATTATTATTAACATAATTTTTAAGGAAAAAGGTTATTGTTTTCATTGTTTTTGACTCATGTAACCTTGCATTTTAATAATGTTAGCACAAAGATACAAATGAAATAAACAGGGCTTTAAGTTTTTCAGGTAGGTCTAACAGTAAGTGAGTGAGTGAAGGGACGTGTGGCCAAGTATGGGGACCCATACTCAGAATTTGTGCTCTGCATTTAACCCATCCAAGTGCACAAACACCATGGGCAGCCACATTGCTGCGGCACCCAGGGAGCAGTTGGGGGTTCGGTTCTTGCTCAAGGGTCTCACCTCAGTCATGGTATTGAGGGTGGAAGAGAGTGCTGGTTATTCACTCCCCCCACCAACAATTCCTGCCGGACTAGAGACTCGAACCCACAACCTTCGGGTTACAAGTCTGACTCTCTAACCATTAGTCCACGACTTTAGGCTACTATTCAGGAAGAAATACTATAATGTATAAATGTATAGATTAGAGATGAAATGGTATGAAAATTTCATATCACGGTTAAATAATCATGGTTATCAGTATTATCTATTGTTAAAATGTGCTGGAAATGTTCAAAAACTCTTGAAATCATTTCACCAAGTATTACGTTGAAAACCAACAAACAACAAAAATTAGCAGCCATATGCACTTTTTAACATTAGCATGAACATTAACAATTAGCATAAAAATGACCTAACATTAAAAATGACAGCCAAATTTTAAACAAACAAAAAAATATTGGTTTGGTGACTAACAAAATAACATGTTATGTAGCCTACTAACATGCATTACATGTTCAAATAAAGTTTAGAATAAAAAAAAGTAGTTTTTTCCCCCATTGCATTTCAGCCTTTAAATATTTTTTAAGAGTATAGAAGTAGAACTGAATGTAACTGATGGGGTGTTGTATACTGTAGGCCTATATCCACTTTACTATAGGCTACGCATTTGGGACAGAGTAAGGACCTTCTTTGTGATCGCTATAATTTGTGCAATATTGTTCGTTACGACATTAAATTAACTTATAAATGTTAAATGCTTGAATCAATATGATTATTTTGCTTGAAAATATATCTGTTATATTTAAGTTCTTGCTAGATGCATGACTCATCAGAGTTTCACAATACAGTTCCGTGTGATAAACGAACTGCTTATTAAAACCAAGGTTGACGTCACTGTAGGCTGTTTGCACCTATATCTTTATTTGTGCATCCTTGAAGTAGTCTACATGATTGTTAGTTTATAAGCGGGGATTATGTTGAGTTTATATAGACGCGCTTCTGTAATGTGCGTCTTTGTTCTTATTTTTCATCTTTATTGTTAATCATTAAATGTATATTGATAAGAAATGTGATTTTATATGTAAAAATGTGTGTACGTAATGCAGTGATGTTATACCAGTGTAGGCTAATGTTTTGTATTTTCTAGGCTATATTTCTTTGTAGGAAACCATACACTCACACACACATAAACGGGCCATTCTTACTATTCGGTGCCATTTCAGCATGGTAATGTTCTATCAAAATTTTTTTACATTTCCATGATATAATCATTTTATCTGAAGAAGGGCTTGTTACACTATAAGAAAAATATATTGGTCCAGCTCAGGATATTATTCTTTAATAATTTTTCACGAAATTCTCAACTGTCCACCCTGTTACAGGACATTCTCATCTCATCTCAACAAATTAATTAGTAAGTACCAATACATGCTGTAAACTTGTTTATCAAATTTTTACATCCACTGTTACAATATGTCCACCCTGTTACTGCACTCTAAAAAAATCCTGGGTAATTTTTTTTAACCCAAATGCTGGGTTGAGTGTATTTTTAGTGTTACGCAGCTCCTGGGTCAAATGTAACAACCTAATGTGTGGATAGTTTTTGTGTTACCCAGCTCCTGGGTCAAATGTAACAACCCAATGTTTGGGTAGTTTTTGTATTACTCAGATCCTGGGTCAGACGTAACCCAGTAGTTGAGTTATTTATCGTGGAGATTTTGCGTCTTCTTCAGGAGAGAGCAGTTCTAAGCGCCATCGAATTGATACATTCCTTCGGTAAAATACAGGTTTCAGGAGTCACCTAATTGAGCGTCGCGTCGGTCTTTTCGTGTGATGGAAAAGCCTGATGCGTTGCATAAAATAAATGATTTTATTCATAAAGATACAGAATATAAATACTTTGGACCCAAATTGGGTTGTTTTTAACCCAGTGTTTTTTAGAGTGTGTGCAAAACAGTAACAGGGTGAACAGTAACATGAGGGACATTTTAAGTCAGCCATTGCTACTCATGTGATGAACAACAAGCTAGTGCATAGTGATCACTGAGGAAGATTTTTAACCTGTTTAATAACCACATTTTCAAAATTACAAAAAATGATCAGTTTCCACTATAAATAAGCATAACAGAGTGGACATGTTATGCCTTACCACATCAGTGAATCATTCTAAAACATTGAAAAAGGGGTAAATTAAGGAGTGTTACTTACTTTGCTTCTTGAAGATAGTTTGCCACCAAAAAGTAGTATATTTCCAAAGGGCTTAGAAACATTCAAAGGGCTTGTTCAGAGGGACTTTCCATCAGAGTAACAGGGGGGACATTCAACTCAGGGACACGGTACGTTTTAAAGACTTTAAGCATTAAAAATGTATAAATAACAAAAAATATATATATTTTGTTGAGAAACATAAATAAGAATATACAACAATATTGAAAAATTTGGAATTAGTTTGATTTTTATTACTTATATTTGAAGAGTTTGGTTCCAAAACGCTATAAATCCATTTTGATTAATTTGAGTAAAAATGTGTTTTCTTTACCAAGTGGCAAGATGAAAACCACTATTTTCTCTTTCAAACGTTCACATAGCATCTTTAGGTTATAATAAAATAAAAAATTCAAATCCAGATTTTGATTTTCAAAGATTTATTATAAAATTGTATTATTTTTTCCCCAAAATGCAATAAATCCATGACACAGATTTTTTTTCCTTCTCCAAAATGCACTAAATCCATTGAATCAATATAAAAGTTATTTTTCATATTGAAACTGTTGAAAATACACAACATAGTAAGTTGATCCACATATGACAGCCTCTGAACTTGGTCAATACTAATCTTATTTGCAGGCACTGGACTAAAAATACATTCAATCAGTCATAGCTCCAAAAAGAATTCAACGGGTCATCTTGTTAATACTATAAATTAATTACAACAATAAAAGAAAATTTAATCATGAACATACATGTACAACAATATCACATTAAACCACAGAAATTCCAAAATGACATTTCCCTTACATTCAACTTCCAAAAGTGCATTC